TTCCTTACAGGATTAGGCAAATAATTTTTTCTAACAACCGGTTCTCTGAACTGCTTAGAATGTTAACAACTGGTTCTAGCAAATAGATGCGAACCAGTAGAATCCCACCCCTGTTGTGATCCAATCCTTCATGGTTATTGTAAGTCCTATTTAAGGTCTTTTACTTTTAAAACACACTTAAGACATTTGTGACAATCTGAAGTAAAATTTCATAAAAAATAGTCTGCTGTTACAGTAATTAACAAAGTTTTAAAAGCTGCTTGTTTTCATTACAAGTATTGTCTTTTACTTTATTTTTTAAAACATCAGTGTTTTTCTATCAAGTGAGAACACAGAAAAAGGAAATGCAACAAAGTAAATAAAAACCAAGAATGATTATATCACAATAGCTATGTGTATAATTTTAACCTTAGATCATCCTTCTCTGTTCTGGAGCCTTTCAGACATGTTGGACTACAAGTCTCAAAATTTGCATTTGAATGGGAATAATGTTCAACATACCTCAAGAGTATCAGTTATGGGAAGACTACCTTCAACTATAGTTTAATTTTATAAAAAATGGCTTCATAACTTTGCTACTAAATTCCTTTTTAGTTGAATATAAATGTAAACCCACAAATCCTAAAATGTATACAAACTTCAAATTATATATTATTTTATATTTATATTATATTATTATATATTATATATTTGGTTGCGAAGTACCCTAAATCACTGATAATGACGATGTGCCATCAAGTTGATACATTAACTCTTGTCAGCTCTTAACAAGCACATAGGTAAACCTTCTTCAGAAAGATCTGTCCTCAGCCTAGCATTTGAAGACACTGGTATGTATTAAAAAACTCTGATATTCATACATAATTTGGATTATTGCTATTTCAAATTTCATTTCTTAGTCAAAAGTTGAAAAATTATACTTTCCCTCATATTTTAAAATTTTTCTATTGAAAGAAGAGAAGAGAATTCCAACTAAAACCTTAATTCGGTGGGGCCATTATATTAATCATATTATATTCTGAAGATGTAAATAGGCACAAGTAAAACAAAATTATGGCTGAATATGTTATGCTAAAAATTTCCAACTACTTAACTACTCAAGGGTTTCTTGTCTTCAAATTGATAAACCGTTATTCCTTATTTTTAGTTGACGTCAATTTCCATGGTTTTATTTACAGTGTTTGTTGATTTGTTGATTTTACTGGCATAGTTAAGTTACCATTTTCAACCTTTTTCAATTCATGGGTATTATCCGTGCTTTCTAGAAAAATTTCCAGATATAATTTTTCTACATATGGAAACCATTAATAAAAATGCTTCTCTAAGTGAAGCTAGATTGATTTGTGACTGATCTCAGGGGGTCTGGAATAGGATTCAGTAGAAATGAGGAGCCACGGAAATTTTACTTACTTCACACAATAGCAAAGCCACTGCTTGATAAAATCTACACCTTCAAGATCTGTTCTGATGTATATAATATCCTAAACACATACTGTTATCAATAAAAATTAAGGTCATAAACAAAAGAAGAGCAGATAGGGCCTTGCTTCAGATGTAGTAGGTGATGTTCCATTTGTGCCATATACACTGAAAGATCTGTATTTCTGTAATTGCTAAGTGCCTAGGAGAAATATTTCAAAATTTTAAATGTAACTCAAGTTTTTACTAACTTGAGTTTAATTAACTTCTGAGTTAATCAAAGTGTTATCTTAAGTGTGCCATTATTTATCCCCCTATCCCAACCAAAATACTGTATTTATTTCCATATAGAAGTTAAAAAACTCCTTGTTATGGGAGGTGATTTGCAGGGAGAGTAAAGCAGGAAATCATCTTATTTAAATATACAAAGGTCCCCTGTAAGCCCTATATTTACTTGATGAGAAAAACCAATCATTCAGCATTATGAGCCCAGGTGGCGCAGTGGTTAGAATGCAGTACTGCAGGCTATTTCTGCTGACTGCCTGCAATTTGGCGGTTCAAATCTCACCAGGCCCAAGGTTGACTCAGCCTTCCATCCTTCCGAGGTTGGTAAAATGAGGACCCAGATTGTTGGGGGCAATATGCTGACTCTAAAAACCACTTAGAGAGGGCTGTAAAGCATGTGAAGTGGTATACAAGTCTAAGTGTTATTGCTATTATGATTTCTGTGAAATTTCAGAAAATCATAAATCTGAGTTCCTATTCTGAATCAGTTGGACTTCCTGTATATGGTATTTCCACATACTAAAGGTAGGGCTTTAGGGAGAGTTGAACTCCTGAACGTATATTGCACATAGAAAACCTCTCTATCTTCCCAGTTAAAATGTTTTTAGGCAGAATATGCTGGGAGAATATAGAAGAGCCTGTAGATTTGTTGATCATCCTAGAAGAAAATACAGCCCAAGATAGACAAGTAATTTCATTCACATGTTCATTCATTCTCTGGAGATTAAACTTTTTTTCATTCACAACTACTTGGAATGTTCTCAGCAGAAAATGGAATAGGCTCTCATACTCCAACTACAAAGAATATGAAGAATTATAGTCGAATAAAGGTTTCTCACTTATCCAGAGAGGAGTGAGTCTTCACATCAATTCTAATCTTGTTTTTCGTAGAATAAATCATTTTTATTGCATTTTCAAGCATGGGAACATGTTTTGTATTCTGAGCATACTGTATGTTTTCATCATATATTTGATATCTTCCTGCATAAAAATAACTCATAAGAAGAAAATGTTTGGAATGAAATTGTTTTTCTTCTGAACTATGGTAGTTTTTTTTTCCCAAATTGGGAATAAAAACATATCTCTATACACGACTTAAAATGACATAGTCCAGTTTACACCTTCATTCTCCTTTGTGTAAAGATTTGGGTAAAATTTCCAAATAAATTCTCAGATAGAAGTGTTCAACTTCATTTTCCTACTGGATAGCTGCCCTGAGATCACTCAATCTGCCCTATTTCTGCCATCTTCAAAACACACTGACATGAGCTTTCATCCCACAGATTCTGCCGAAAAGTTGCAGAATAGCCATGGTTGAATGTGCATCAATACAGGTCTTGAAAAGAGAAAAAAGTGTCAGCAATAGCACTTAGTCTTATATACTGCTTCACAGTGCTTTACAGCCCGCTCTAAGTGGTTTACAGAGTCAGCATTTGGGTCCTCATTTTACCCACCTCGGAAGGCTGGAAGGCTGAGTCAACCTTGAGCCTGGTGAGATTCGAACTGCCAAATTGCAGGCAACAGCAGAAGTATCCTGCAGTACTGTATTCTAACCACTGTGCCACCACAGCTGTTACCTGTTAGCTGTAGAAATCTTCATATAGAGCTATTCTATGAACTACACTGTTTAAGTATCAGTCCTTTGTCTCTCACCTCCAAAGTGGCTGAAGGGGAAAATCGTGGCAATCTAACAGGTTTTACTATTTACAGATGCATCATAGATTTACTGTATGTATTTAGAAATAATAGCAAAGTCTTTCCTAACTCAAAATTCCAGAACAATATTGATTGATCCATAGGGTGTTTTCACATAAGATATGAAAAAAAAATGTAGGACACAAAATGAGAGAGTCCAGACGAACAACCAAGACATCACATTGATAATTTCATTTAACTGAGGCACAGTATATCTGATCCAATAATGCTAACAAAAAAAATAATCAAATCATAACCCGGATTTCTGAATAAATGGGAAATAAAAGCTTGTAAGGGAAAAAGTTTCAAATAATGCACAAAATCTAAAGCATTGACCGGCAAGGACCATTTACACCATACCTGTGAATGTGGTTTTAATACACATTCCCCTACAGTGAACCAGATAATGTTAAATAAAAGTGTGTGTGTGTGTGTATAAAAATATTCAAGTATATAGTGTCTATATTTTTAAAAAACACCTTTTAGAGTTTACAGATATATAAAAATGCTTCAGAAGTCTTATTTTACCCCTCCCAGTCCTCATAGTATATAGATAACATATAGCACATATTGTATGTTGCTTTTAATGGTCTAAAAACAGGTCCCATTTTATAGGAGCTGTTAGAGACATTCAACCATTCATAAGAAGCAGAAAATGGGTAGAGAACTCAAAGACTTCCACCTCTTTCTATTGCTAAAGGAAATATGGAATGCCATTAACTAATTCTAAGTTATTGTTGAGTAGAGGGTGAATCCTGGTAACTCAATAACACTATTGTGGCTGGACTTAATGGGGGCCTCCAATTGACTATCCAGAACCCTGCCAGAGTTTTTTTTAAAAAAACGCTTAAAAACAAATGCTCATTTTACTATGTTACTATTTATTGATATTCTACAATAAGTGATTACTGTTCCCAAATAATACGCATGACTGTCTAAAAGAAGTACGTCAGTAAGTCCACAGTGTAAAATTATCTAATTGCCCCAAGTGCTCACTACAAATGGAAAAGGGAAGAAACTGAATGGGACAGGGATATCCTTGATTTATTGAGCATAGTAGTTGACTTTCTTGTTGATACTATTACTCTAAGATTTCAGTTGGTATCTTATCCTTCTGTCCCAAAGCTGATCACAGACTTGCTTAGAAGCAACACTAAACCCTTAGTTTAAGATTACAAAAACAAGAAAGAACTTCTCCCTTCTTTTGGTCTCGTTGAAAGTGCAAGACCACAAGACATTTTGATTTCCCCTTTGGATTAATCAAAGTCATCCAGATTACTAAATCATCCAGATTCGGATAATTGCTAGTTCATCTTAAATATGATTACCTAAAAGAAGCCATTTGCAGCCATTATTTAAGAAGGTGGTTCACCCAGGATTGCCTTGCTAACTGAGATTGAACTAAAACAGGAGCCAATGCTTTCAAACTGCTTTTCACAGCCAAACAGAAGAAGAAGAAAAAGGATAAAACTAATCTACATTTCTCCTATGTAGGTGCTGCATTTCTGCATTCCAGGGATGGGGACTTTCTCCTCTCATCTATGTCCTTAGATATGTAGAAATTAAAGTGAACTATTGTAGATTTGATTTTCTATACTTACAGGCAAATGAGTAAAAACCTGAAAGGTGCTTCTCAAGAAATTAATTAGATCCATTAAATAGCCACTAGCTCTCCCATCAGGCTCAATCATTGTCCAATCATAGTCAGCAAGCTGGATAAATTCATCAATCTTCTGATTCAGTTTCGTATAAATCTCCCCTTCAGCAGCATGTCTTGCATCCTGAAAAGAACAGATAATAAAATAGCAGTATAGCATTACTAACTTAAGGATAATTGTTTGAAGTAAATTCTGTAAACAGCAGTTGTGGGCCAGGAAAAATGGAAAATTGATTTTTAAAATTCAAATTGTAAGGTATTTAAAAACAAGTCGACTACCAAGTCAAATTCTACTCCAAAAGGAACATGATGCTTAATGCTTTGACTCATTTTGAATACATTTATATGCATCTGTAAGATAGCCACCATATGCTATAAAGCAGTGGTCCCCAACCTTTCTGGCACCAGAGACTAGTTTCATGGAAGATAAATTTTCCACAGACCATATGTGTAGGAGGCAGGGGAATTTGCATGCAACCTAGATCTCACACATTCACAGATGAAGCTTCACTTGCTTGCTTGCCACTTGTGCGGCCCAGGTCCTAACGGGCCATGGATCGCTATCAATCTACTATTTATCACTATTCTTTACGACATCATTCTACAGTTTTAAAATCTTAACATTTTAAGTAAATGACAAAATATTTCTAGATGTAGAAAATTATTGACCAAGTAGGCTGCTAACAGTGCAATTATATACAAAGCAGAACTAGAATCAAGAAGTTGGAAAACTTAAAGAGATCATTGAGATGAAATTGCCATGTATTCTGCTCTTGAGTTTTGTATATAAGTGGGACCTTTTCAAACAACCTGTACCTAACCTAAATCTGTTCCAGAGAAACCAGAGTTCCTTAGCGAAATCCCATACAGATGTCACAAATGACAGCCACACAGCAATAATATAGATTATATAGTAGATACTACATTAAAGGTACTGCTTATACATATGGAACAAATTACAAATTCCTACAGAACAAAATCAAAGGGCCCAAAAAAACTTTTTATTGGTGAAAATAAAATAATAGTTTTATTGACAGTAGTTGTTTTTCAGAACTTTCATCAAAATAATATTTGATTCTAAAGATGACCAACTTCTGCAGAAGAATCACAACAAGCAGCTCAAATAACTTTCTGCAACTTGGTGCCTTCCAGTTGTATTGGACTGTTGGACATCATCCTCAATCAGCTTGATTACTGATTTGCTCATGCGAGATGATGGACTTATTGCCCAACACGTTAACAGTAGCTTCAGATCCTCCTGTACTATTATATCAGGTAGCAAGGGATCTCAAGCATTTACAGTTTTGAGTGAATACTTCAATGTCTTCCCATGTGATGTTTAGAGTCCTTAGGTCTTCCATGAACATTTTTCACCATGTATTTCGAAAGTGTCTTCTTGGTTGTTTGGCAACAGGCGGTCCATCTCATTGCCATCTAGGGGATTCAATTGTTCTCCTTGTGGAAAATACGACCTACAAATTGGAGTATTCTGTGTGTGACAGTGTTATGTAATTTGCAGGAAAAACTCTTGTGGTGCGCTTCTTCATTAGTAATATGGTCAAAATAGCGAATCTTTAGGATTCGGCAAAGGTATTGTTTTTGGAAGGCATCAAGTCTCTTGTTAATTAATGCTTGCTGATGCCCTCCAGGTCTCACTGGCACAAATGGCTGATCACCATAGAGGTGAGCAAACAGAATTTAGTGGTATAGACAAGAGTGATATAGACAACAAGGACCAGATTTTATTTATCCTCGGTAAACAGCTCTTGCTTTTCCAAGCATCACCTGACGTCTGTCTCTGCATATCCATTTCTGGTGACTGTACTTACCGAATAGATAAACCTTTCTATTTCCTCAAGTCACTGTGACCTGAGTGTGCTTCCTCATATCTGTGTGGTGAAGCTCACAAACATATCATCGATTTCTCAACACTTATCTTGAGGTCAATTTTGGTTGCTTCCTCATCCTAGGCAGTCGTCACTTGTTGTACATTTGTCTCATCTTCCCCAAGTAAGGCAATATCATCTACAAAATCCAGGTTGCCTGATCTTCTTCAGAATAATGAATGCCTTTCCGGGTGCATGATGTTCATCACCTAAGACAGGGGTGTTAAACACAAGGCCCACAGGCCACATCTGGCCCACAATGTGGTCGGATCCGGCCCATGGGGCCATCCTGGAAAATGTAAGGGGCCGACCCATGTCGCATCAGCCTGGTCTACCCAATGCAAAGAGGTAACATCACGCCAGCATGGCTTCAGCCTGGTCTACCCAATGCAAAGAGGTAACATCATGCCAGCATGGCTTCAGCCTGGTCTATCCAATGCAAAGAGGTAACATTGGGCCAGCATGGCTTCAGCCTGGTCTACCCAATGCAAAGAGGTAACATCATGCCAGCATGGCTTCAGCCTGGTCTACCCAATGCGAAGAGGAAACATTGGGCCAGCATGGCTTCAGCCCGCTCTACCCAGTGCAAAGAGGAAACATGCCAGCAGTTTGGGGAGTGGCGTCAAGCTGACCCGCCCACCCAGTTGGCAACACCCACCTAGTTGGCCATGCCCACCCAGTTGGCCACGCCCAGTCCAGCCCCCAGAGATCAACCACAGCCCTGATGCGGCCCTTAATGAAATTGAGTTTGACACCCCTGACCTAAGATCATCAAAGGCCACGAGGAAGAGGAGTGGGGATAGAATAGATAGCCTTGTTTAATTCTGGTAGTAATTTCAAAGACATCCATATGGCCATATTTGGTCTTAATATAGCAGTTTAATCATAGGTATAAGTCCTTAAAGATAATAATAAAGACCTTTGGTACATTGTATAAATATAGGATCTGCCAGAGAGATTCTTGGTGGACACTATCAAATGCTTTCTTAAAGTCAATAAAATTAATGGTCAGCGGATGTTAATATTCAATGCAATGTTCTATGTTATTTCATAAAGTTTCATTATTATCTTTAAGTTTATGAGCAGGACCTTCCACAGCGAAATCCGACTTGTTCTTCTCTCACATAGTTGTATACTTTATGGCTGCCTAAGGAGAATTATGCAAAAGGTTTTTCCAGGCATTGAGAGGAGGGTAACGCCAATTGCCCAACGCATCTGAAGCATATTGATTTAGCTGATATAATTAAAAAAGCTCTGATAGGAAAGTTGAAGCAGTTATAATACAGCTTAAATGAATTAGGTTTTCCCTCATATGATTTATTGGTCTTCATATAATTAGCAGTAAACATGAATATCTCAGATTCTATGAAGAATTAATTGAAAGACTAAAAGAAAGGTAAGAAGAGACAATAAAAGACCCCAGGGTCTTCCGGATTCTTTTTTCCCTTGAAACAAATCCTTAAACAACACATGCGAGATACATGCGAGGGAGACATTGCCTCAAGGATGTGTTTTATGATCTTTTCTACAATTTAAGGAAGGAAACCCTCCATCTCTGAATTGAACTGCTTTCTGGGATATGAAAATGAGCAGCTTCCATAGTGACCATATTTTATTTTAATTTTAGTTATGAAGTAATGGGGGACATTAAAGGAACCTCCCCTCACATACAGGCTTGAGATGTGGGGAAGGCCCACTAAACATTTTCACCATCCCTATTTTTGCTGTAAAGGCTACCAGCACATATATCAGGATTCTAGATTGCTGGATGGATTCTAACTCCTACAAAATACTTAGAGGAATCTTCAATAGTCCAAGGAAGGAAAACGCTGAAATAAGCTAGGGCTGAAAGCCTGCTGAAGCAATATAACTTGTGTGCAGAATATTTAGGAAGCAGCCATGTATAGTCCTGGTTTAGTGACTACAATGTAATTGGCCACTAAGCAAAGTAAAGCAACCGCTCTGTGAAGATACAACTATGCTTATGATCGTACTACAGTTTTGCTTTGTTTTGCTTTGACTTGTGAAGGTTGAAAACGTGAGGATTAGACTTACTTTTTCAACTCAGAAAATACAAGAGGCATGATGTTAATCCCTTGAGCATTTCTTTATCCTATCATCCTTTAACCTTGATGACAGAAACTAATGCAGGAATTTGATAGGTATCATTTTAGATTTAGTTACAAAATAAAAGTGCTGAAGACAGAATTACTCTCGGTGGGAATAATCCTTTTTTAGTTTGTTGGTCTGTAAAATCCTGCTCTGTTTGGGTGTATACACAGTAAGGCAATTACTTGAAACTCAAGATGTAATTGTTAGGGAATTAACTGATGCCTGTTTTTGTGTACTTTTAAAAAAATGTCAGTGAAAGAAAACATTCCAAATTTGCACAAATAGGTTCAGAAATGAGAAACATAGACCACTTTTTTGCATTGTTATTCCACAGATCATTATCTAAAGTAAATACAGGTCATTATCTAAAGTATTAAAATAATACCCATGTTAGGGTAGGAGCCAGAAGACGATGCAGCTAATTCCATGAATCCAAAGAATATAAAGTTGGAATCTTCTCAAAACAATATGATATGATAAACTACATTTGAAATGGATGGTTTTGAAACTATTATTCTAGGATAAGGTCATAAAAATGCATGAATTGATAAATGATATGCATGCGCAGGCACAGAAACAAACACACTCCTTGCATAAATCTCCTGTAAGAACTTATTTTCAATCTTATACATATTTAATTAATTGGAATAATTTTACTGAACAGAGAGGGCCTTACTTCTAAGTCAGTACAGTTAAACTTAGCTGTCTGAAGTTTTACAAACCTAGTTTTATAGTCTCTAAAGCAGACACACGAATCCCTTATTATTTTTTATGGTTGATCACACAGTCAGAATTTTAGGTTGGCATTTTTATCATTGTTATCCTCCCATTAAGTCCTTCCCAAGGACCTGGAATAGGTAGCAGTTGTTTGATGGTGTTAAAAGTTATTTTGTAAAATGTGAATATAATTACATATAATTATAATATATATAATTGTTTCCAAATTTGTTCTTGGGGAAAGTGTGTCTGTCAACCTTGAAGCCATTTTGGAGCATCTTCAGGGCTGCCACAGTAGGGGTGGCTAGAGCTATGGGAATGGGAGCGGGGGAGATAGAGATAGCTGGGGACTTGTAGCCAAAATAAAGTTCTTTCTTCTGGGAACCAAGGACATTCTCACCAGGTTCTGGGGAGGCATAGACTAAAACCAACTGGAGTTTGGACGGTGACCATGTTGGACCATATGACGGACATGTGGACGGGGGGAAGAACTTGGACTTTTAATTTGGGTGGAGAAAACCGCAGGACTTTCAGAGTCAGGTTTTTACCAGATGTACCAATATGATATGCCTAATAAATTTGGACTTTGAGGAGCACCTTGACCTCAGAGTTTTAATTGCATTGGATCTGTTACTTGGAACCCTGACAGTGTCAGCTCTGTGATGATTATGGTCATTGTTTCCAACATCTTTCTTAGCTCTGCCCCAAAATCATTTTCCTGGTCAGTTTCCACTAGCTCATTTACATCTGAGTGTATATAAATGATTTTTGGCTTTCAGTCATTACTTTAAGCTTATCTGGAGACACTACAAGTACCAGAGATCAGAGAGCCAGAACTGAATACTGATCTTGTTCTGGTACAGATAGTCCTCAACTTACAACCAGTCACTTAGCAACTGTTCAAAGATATGGTGGACCTCCCCAAAGCTACTGATGACCCAGTTTTAAAGTTCAGACTTGCAATCACACAATTGCATTTTGGGCAATTGGCAATCACCCTGCATTTCTAGCATTCCCCAGTCACATGAGCATGGTTTTCAGCATTTTTTGATTGAACCCAGTGTTTTCTTCCAGTTTCGGGCAAAAAATACCCATTGTGTACAATGAGTTTGCTTAACAATCCCAGAGTTCATTTAATAACCACTGGAAAAAAAGATTGTAAAATTGGGAGCAACCACACAATGTAATCACACTTAACAACTGCTGCCACAACTTATGACTGTAATGTCAGTGTCAACCCTGAAGTGAACTTGGCTGAAGCCATTTTATGCTGCCTCATAGTTGCCAACAACTCTGAGAGGAGGAAGGGAGGTAGAAATAGATAGGCTGGCTAATAGTCAAAACAAAAAGTTTTCTTGTGGGAACCAAGGTCATCCCAACAGGTAGCAATTGAAGGAGGAGAGGAGTGACTAAGCAGCCAGTCAGCTACTTTTATTGGATAATATGACCAGTGACATCTGGGGAGGGAAATATTTGCTCTTTTAATTAGGGGAAAACTGTGGAACCTTTTAGAATTGGTTTTCACTAGCTGTGCCAATATGATGTATCCAATAATCATGTTCCTTGAGCAATCTACCTGCCTCGGAGTTCTGCTTTTGGAGGATGCGTTATTTGGAATACTGACAACCAGACTCAATTATGGTCATGTGTTTGAGGACTGCCTATAGTGGTACAAAGGTAGAAAACTCAGAAATACATGTCTGTGTAATAACTGTAGCATATATACACTGGTTTAAATTTATTGTCAAGCGACCAAACACCTAAATGCCTATATACCTGACATTCTCTTTGTGTTTTTTTCTGTCTTGGAAATTTCACAAAGCCATGTCTTTGCTAATGAAAATATCTGGAACAACCATCAACATGTATAATCAAGTTTGAGAAACATATAGGTGTAACTGAAGATGTTGAGCATGAGCATATTTTAGTTTTGTCTCCTCCCAAATATGACCCATCATTCCAATGTAATATATAATTCACCGTAGATTAATTTAATGAGATTAGGTTATTTTATAATAAGCAACACTCTAAAAGTGATTATTTTTATAACAATGATGTACTTAAGTTAATATCACTATTTTATGCTTAATTAATGTACTCTTTGTAGATGAGTAGTGTGGTGGCCTAGAGATGGAGTTCCCACCTTACAATGAGGAGGCTGTATGTTTGATCCTAGATAAGGCAGATATTTCTTTCTCTGGTTGCAATGAGTAATTGTCTGCTGTGAACTCTGCGTAAGCATCAGGAAGGGCATCCGGCCAGTAATGCTCAGCTCCAATCAGTCACCCCATCTCCATCCATCCCAAAGCAAGGGATTACAGGGATTAAAATTTAAAAAAGTATTCTTTATAGGTAAATATTTCATGATGCTGAGTCATTTTACCTAATGTGTTGGGTACTGCTATCCATACACATATAAATTGCACATAAAACATGGAACTAAAGCATAATATCTAGAAATTAAGAATTTGGTGGCTTATACAGGGACTTGAAAACCGATCACATCTCCCATACCTTAAATGTTGAAAGACCATAGAGTCTTGCTGTGTGGAGAGTTTCTTGGGAAATATTTGTAACGTTAGTTATAAAGTCTTCAAGATATTTACATGCCTGTTCCAAATGCGTTGTATTTATGATAATTTGCACCAGCTTCAAAAAAAAAATTGAAAACAAAGATATAAGAACAAATTCTAATAAAGCACTTTTTTAAAGTTTCAGATTATATTTAAGTCACTGTTCATTATGAAGCCCCCTCCCAAACCAGAGTACATAATACAAAACCTAACATAGAATGTCATGGATTGATTATAACAAAATAGATATGTCTTATTTTAAAGGCAGGTTGTCATTTTAATGTGGAATACCAATGTGTGAAAAAAACTCAATTGTGAACATTATGTGTACATTTTCTACCTTCAGGAAATACACTTATATATCCACTAAGGAAACCTTAAGTTGTTCCCTAAAGAATATATCTGTGCTAGATAGAACATACTTTCCTGTGCTGTTTTTTCACCATTTATTTGGACTGAAATCTACCTACTCTAGTCAAGCACTACAGATTTAACATACAAGCTCAAATTACCTGAAAATCTCCCCTGGGGAACCACAGGTCCAAGCAAGGCATTGAACTAATACCAAGATGTATTTTAAAGAAACCTATCCACAATTCCTCATTTTCTTTGAATGGTTCTGGAGAAATCACATTCTTCCCAAGGAGAAAGTTTGGAAGTCCCCAAACTACTGAAAAAGTTTGAAAGCCCCTGACAATGTATTGAATATTAGAAAATATGTCTCGGCACTTACCTCTGTCAAACCTATGTGAGGTTTTTTAATGAGGTTTTGCAAACAACTGCTTAAAGTTCTAGTCAGCAATAAATTTGTAGATTTTCTGAGCATGTCATCTATCTCTGTTGAACTGCAGAAAAAAATGAGATACTTTGAAAACAGATGAATACTGCATATAAAATTACTAAATAAACATGCAGCTCTGCTGCCTTCCCACCGCCTGATTGTAATCCAGTGTCAATATAACTCTTGGCATGTTGATTGTCTTGGAGAGCTTGGAACAGCTTTCCATTTAACAGATATCCTTCCAGTCTTCAGCTCCATATCCCACCCTATACAGATGCATTTTGCAAGCAATACATTGTTTTAATTACTCCGGAGGGCTACCTGCAGAAATTGAAACCTTTTCCATGTGACTGTTGGCTTTGCCTTCTTAATTTTGGGGATTCTGCAGAGCACCCACCAACTGCCACCATCTTTCCCATGATGGGCTGCCAGTATTCCCCACAGCCAACTAGAGTGGGCGCAAAACTGAAAACTGAAATCACCTATCTTTGCTCCATGTTTTAGCATTTCATAGTGAGGAAGAAGAAAAAGCCAACTATTGTTGGTAGAATAGTCTTGCCACTGACAGGTCTAGAAAAGTGGTTCCCAACTCCCGATCTGTGGAGTGACACTGGTCCACAGCATGCCAGAAACTGGGCCATGCAAACAAGCAAACCCCTGACCATCCGCAGGATGCAGACAGCATGTGAAACCATGCCCCCTCCAGTCCACGGAAAAATCTCTCTCCATGGAATTGGTCCCTGGTGCCCAAAAGGTTGAAAGAGCAAGCTAAGGCACTTTGCTTCACAGCTTCAGTGGAAACATGATGAATCTATGGGGCAATGCTCCCTGTGATATAGAAGCCAAGTTGATTTACCTGGAAAATTAATTAGTTTGTTTTTTCCAAGGTTAAATGGAACACCAATGGAAACTTACAAGAGGTGTGCTAAAATCAGCACACCCAAAATACTGCTACTCTATCACTACATCATCACTAAATCATTAAACTGGTTAAATATGGAACTAACACTAACAACAAGGAGTCAATCTTTTCTCAACCCACAAAAATTTAAGTTCTAGCACATATTATTTGCCAAAAGTCCAAGGAAAACGAAAATGCGTAACATTTTGGAAGTCTGTTGTGTATTAATATCAAATAGTGTTTACTGAAGTTCTTAAGATATAATATGATTTTTATAATTTGTTGCCCCTTCCTTCTGGAGGCATGGTAATACATAAATTATTTCAAAGATGTAGATACAGTATTTTACAGAGACAAAATTGTTATTTTTATTTGTCCACACATGTTGTCAAATCTGCTTGCTTAACTGCTACAAAGCACTGGATTTCACTCAAGCTAACATTTGTTACTAATTTGAAAAAATTTAGAATGTGTATTTATGTAATTTGAACTCTAGCTGTTAGTATGTATTTGTGAAGAGTAATTTGCATAATTAATTAATTCCTGTTTGGAGATGGAGATTAAGAAGCCTTATTAGCTCAGTATTTGTGAAAGGGGAGTAATTTACCACTGTCAACAGTAGGCACAGCTTGACAACAAACTGAAATAGTTTCCAGATTTCAACAAGCAAAGAACTACACATTCCATCCAATTAAAGGTAAGTAATGCTTTGAGATTAATGAAAATGGAAGCCTTTGAAAAGTGGAGTAAATTCTCCTTTGTAATATGTCCTACACCACAAGTGAATTTCTCAATATTCCGAGAATGACTTTTTTTTTATACAAAGGTATTATTGAATGGGATCATGAAAGTAAAGTTTGAGCCGAAGAAAGAAGGGAATTTATTCAAACAACAAAAGAACAAAGCTTTATTCCCTTCTACCAATCTGCATGTGTGTGTGTGTGTGTGTGTGTGTGTGTGTGTGTGAGAGAGAGAGATAGAGAGAGAGAGAGAGAGAGAGAGAGAGAGAGAGAGAGAGAGAGAGGAAGGAGAGAGAATTTGAGTATCTATTACTTTTTATAAAAATTCTGTATAAACTAATGAAAAGAAACTTCCTACCACTACAGGTAGTCCTCAATTTACAACAGTTCATTTAGTGACCATTCAAAATTACAACAGCACTGAAAAAAGTGACTTACAACCATTTTTCAGAGTTTCGTAGCATTCTCGTGATCACATGATCAAAATCCAGACACTTGGCAACGGGTTCATACTTATGACCGTTGCAGTGTCCTGAGATCATGTGACCTCCTTTTGCGACCTTTTGACAAGCAAACTCAATGGGGAAGCCAGGTTCACTTAACAACCGGGTTGCTAACTTATATCAACTGCAGTGATTCGCTTAGCAACCATGACAAGAAAACTAGTAAAAATGGGGCAAAACTCACTTAAAAAATGTCTCACTTAACAACAGAAATTTTGGGCTCAATTGTGGTTGTATGCCGAGGACAACCTGCACTTGTGTTCTTTTATAGTTATCTACCCTGATTATAGCATTCATAGCATTTGTTATTGATTGTAAAATTGATTGCAATTTTATGGGTCTGACACGGATTTTAATTTCTGTACTTTGTAATTTGGCATTATAGTTTATTTTTACCTTACTCTTTCAATATGTTTCCTTTTTTAAATTAATTCTTAATTAATTAATTAATTAAATTAATTCTTCATTAATTAATTTGGCATTATAGTTTATTTTTACCTTAACTCTTTCAATATGTTTCTTTTTTAAAAAAATTAATTTTATTTTAGAGTGAGTTGTTATTGGCTTTACAAATAAAGCAAAATAAAATAAAAAGCAATTTCTTACACTGCACCCAGAGCAAACAGGAAGACAAATCAGGAAGTATGAGGATAACTTGTCTATTTCTGAGACAGGTGACTGATCCAGCTCATCCCTGGCTATATATTTTAAATTTCAAAGAGGAATTTTAAAGAGGAATCCTTCCCAGCTAAATGCTAGGGATTCAGCACAGGACTTTCCGAAACCAAACACCTGGCATATTACAAAGCTATTGGATACCCCTTTACTTTCTGATTGTCTTGAAGCACAGACAGAACACATTCAATTAAATCTTACTTTACAGACACCGACTTTATCAAAGCTTACCTCCGATGAAGTGACTCCGAAAATTTAAGGCTTGCATAAATAAATTCTTTAACCTGGATATAAATCTGAGGCACTGACTGTGACATTGGAAGTTTCTTTGGAAAACGGTGCTGTGGAAGCAAAACAGATTTTCCATGTGGTACTGTATGTCAAAACAGCAGAACAAGTAAAAAAGAATCTGATCTCAAATCTAAATTATATTTAGTTGTAACTTAGTTACTTAATTCTATTATAATTTAACAACTAAGGTGATTTACTTAACAACTGTACCAAGAAAAGTCATAAAATGGGGCAGAACTCATTTAACAAATGTCTCACTTAGCAACAGAAATTTGGGGTTCAATTGGTGGTCGTCAGTCGAGGATTACACACACACACACAACACATATATATATAAACATATATTTATTTTCTTAAGTTTTCGCGGGTATTTATATGTATGGTATTCA